CACACACACACACACACACACACACACACACACACACACACACGTTACTCAATTTTACAGGTGCCCTGCAATTTTAAATGGTCTAACCTCGAATCTTTGTCTTACTTGGAAAGTGTTGTTTTAGAACTGAAGACATTTTCTTCTTAAATTTTGTGTAAAACGAAAGCAAAGATCTCTTATAATTTGAAATTCCTCATTTAGACAGTTTATCGACAACTTCAGTCCTTGATTGTTAAGCGGGAGTACTATCTGTGCTCTTTGCCTCACCAGCTGTACTTCTACCACCCGCTCTCATTATCTGGTGTTGATTGGATGTTCATGGAGTTAGCTGATTCCTCACCCTGGCCTTCTCTGTGCCTGCCTCTCACCTTCTCCACTGCCAGCCTTGCCCATTGCCCAGCTGTGTTCACTTCAAATCAGACGTTTCAGGAGAAAGTTAAAAAGAGGAAGGATATATGAATCATAGCCAATCCACTGAGAAGAACATTGGGCTGGCTAACTAGATAACTGGTATTCTTTATAAATGTGTGCTTAAATTGTAGTCGTTAAGTGATGTCGAGTCAATTCTGACTCATAGTGACTCTGTATAGGGTTTCCAAGGAACAACTGGTAGATTTGAACTGCCAACCTCATGAATCAAACTGACCTTACAGTCCAGTGCTTACCCTACTGCACCACACCAGGACTCCTGTGCTTAAATTTAAATATGAACTGGCAAAAGAATAGAATTTGGGTCTTGGGTATATTTCTATATCCAATTTGGACTTACTTGGGCTGGATTTCTGCTTTCAGTGGTTGGAGTATGAGAATTCAGCTAATCAATGGGTGATAGTAGTGACGGTGCAGAAATAAGAGAAGTAGATATGTTCTGCCTGTGGCCATTGGGTTGGTTCTAACTCATGGCAACCCCATGTATGTCAGAGTAGAACTTAGCTCCACGTGGTTCTCAGAAGCTGATATTTTTCCGAAGTAGATCGACAGTTCTTCAAGGCGTCTCTGGATGACTTCCTAGGTGTGTAGCTCCTACCTTTCAGTTAGCTGCCGAGCACATTAACTACTTTTTGTCACCCAGTGACTAGAGGGGGACATGCTTTAATGCTCCACGTTCATCTCCTTCAGTGTCCAGACTCTGCTTGCTGAGTAAATGCCACTCCAACTAGGCTTTGTCTTACCCTTCTCACCTGAACCCTTTCTGAATAGGTAGTCTCAAGTTGGCCCTACTTCAGAGAAAGGTTTGGATTGTTTGTCAGACAATTTTTACCTGTCTAGCCAAAACCAAAATTGAATTGTATCCATCTGGAGAGGGTAAAAATTACTTTATCCGATTAAATGGCATGCCACTGGTTCCTTGACATCTGTTTATTTGACAAATGCAGCTTCACACATGGGAATCATCAATCTGTCAGTAATGCTCAGTTATGTGTCACTTTCTCCATGCACCTAGAGGCATAATAAGAAAGTCCATATGCGTCCACTTGTCGCAAGGCTAGGGGAGGAATACAAGTACCACAGCATTAGCCATGGCATCCTTGAAGCTGGGAGAGCAAGAAACAGTTTTACATTGTGCTAAGGATGGATTTCTTAACCCACTCAGGTCACTTGCATTGGGTCTGGTGTGGCAGCATCTCTGTAAGTTAGTGTTTTGGACTTGAAAAAAAAATCACCATTGTTATTACTCTCATTTCTTAGTTGTCCATCCTTCATGATTACATGAAGGGAAATAGTACAAATTTCTAATAACTCTGCAAGCCACTTAAACCCTGAAATGTATTTTTCGCCCTGTATGTGAATGTGGATATGATCATCTGAAATTTCACATCAAATAAAACAGATGAAAACATACTAGGAAGGCTGACTTCCCCTTGGCTGTTTTGTCTGCATCTTGAGAACGGCCCCCTGAGTTTCTGGAAAGTACCAGACAAAGCTGAGTTGTCTGTTGGCCTTTTCTCAAATCTTTCAAGAACTGAGAAAGGAAAGTGCTAACTGAATCAAACATTTTCTAACCACTAAAAGAAAATGGACTGAGAGGGAGCCACATGTCAACAAAGCACGTGATTAACCTGCAAATGATTAGGAGCCACTGGTGCTCAGGACCATGAAGGATCGATCAGTAGAGATTCCAGCTGTTGAATAACTGAGTTGTCACTTCTCACAAGGAAATGCAGAAAGATTTCATCTTGAAACTTTGATTCTCAGATTCTCAGTACAGACATACTACTAATCTCATTTCTTTTATTTGCAGAGACTAGCATATTATAAGGACTCCTGGTGTGGCGCACTGGAGTCAGCACTGGACTGCAAACCACAGGGTCAGCAGTTCAAACCCACCAGCTGCTCCTCAGAAACCCTATACAGGGTCACTTATAAGTCGGAAGCGACTCAACAGCACTTCACAACAGCAGTAGCCGTATTATAAAAGGAGCCCAGGTGGTGCTGTGGCCAAGCGCTTGACTGCCAACCTAAAGACTGGGAGTTTGAACCTACCAGCTGTCCTGAAGAAGAAAGATGTGACAGTCTCCTTCCATAGCAATGACTTGTTTGTTGTGAAGTACTGTCAAAGTCGGTTCCAACTCATAGTAGCCCTGTATAGGGTTCCTGAGGAGCAGCTGCTGGGTTTGAACTGCCAACCTTGTGGTTTGCAGTCCAGTGCTTAACCTACAACACTAACACTATGCCTCCAGTAGTCCTTGGAAACACTGTGAGGTAGTTCCTATAGAGTATCTGTGAGTCAGCATCAATTAGACAACAGTGGGCTGCTACCATTTTATAAATAGTGATGTGGGCTTTCTGGTTCGCTCAGTATTCTTTAATGACTGACAGTAGTGTTGCATTATTTTGATACGAAATAGTCCTTTCACTCCAAACCTCCCTTAAGTGAATTTCAAGCTCAAAGTACCAGGAATATATTAGAGCCAAAGTATGCAGAAGGAGAGCAGAAGCAGAAGGGTGGAGGAAGGCACTGACCCACTGGACCTGAGTTAATATTCAGAATTTCATAAATCACCTCTCAGCCTGCAAGGCATGTTGAAGGAAATCAGAATATCCAGTTAAACTGGTTTGAAGTAAGCCTGTGGAAGACAAGGTGCTGTACTTTTCTATTCTGGAGTCGTTTCCCTCAAGATAAGAAGTGATCATAAATAAAACAATTGTCTTCAGCAGGGCTCAGCTCTCTCAGAATGAGGTTTTGACAAAGCTGTTTATTTTGGAGCAGGGAGAGATCAAAGAAGGAAGATTAACTGAGCCCTCTCTGGGCAGCCACTCGGTAACTTGAGGCAGATCGCTGACACCCAGAGCTTTTGTTCCTGCCTCTGCAGCTACAGAAGAAAGAAACTAGGATTTCAATGTATTTGGGCACCTTCTGTGTTATAGCACTTATGGAATGTGTGGGGTCACCACTGGGGTGGGACTTAAACCCACAAAGGCTCAGTTTTCTGCTCTGAGGAGAGGATAGTAGAAGTCGCTCAGCCTAGTTAGGCAGTATAGATTCCTGGGTTTCTTTGACACCAAGAGTGCAATGAGTTGGGTTACCGACCAGTGAGGAGGGTGGGGGACATGTTGGACGCAAAACCAAGTCTCTAAAGCACAGGGCACTTGCGCTTTCTTTGACCTGAAATCTCAGTGGACTGGCTCTTCACTGGCCAGCTGGAATCTGAGTTGGGGAGGAGTGCCATCTACTGACCTACTTTCTCCTACCTAGGACTCAGAACCCCAGCTGAGTTTTCCCTTCAGGGCTCATTTCCAACAATAGAGAGGAGGAAAGTATGGACATTGGGGGAGTGTCTGGTTTCCTTTACATAGTCTGTAGTTTAGTCTGTAGTCGTTGTTGTTGTTGTTGTTGTTGTTGTTGTTAAGTGCCATGGAGTTGATTCTGGCCCATAACAACCCTGTAGAGGGTTTCCAAGAAGCAGCTGGTGAGCTTGAACCACCGATCTCGCAATTCAAATGACTGCAGTTTGATGCGTCAGTCCATAGTGCCACACCAGGACTCCTTTACGTGGAGTGTGTTAAAATCCATTGCCTTGCAGCTGCTACTAAGTAATTTCCTTGAGTTGCCAAAAGTATTGTATTTAAAGCAAATCTGGCCCAATTAGCTCTTTGATTAGCTTAAGGTTAAAAAGATAGGGAGAAATAAGGAAACTTTTAGAAACAAAATTCTTAACTTCTATGTTACTCTAAATTCAGTGTATATTCTCTTATAGAAGTAGTAGGTCTGTTTCAAAATGTCATAGTCCTGTCCCCAACAAATACAATAGTTATTAGTAGTACAACATTTAAAACTTGAGTGGGAATCTTGACCAATTCTCTCATTTCATTTCACTTTTCTTTCTTCAATTCATGTTTTGAGGCACCAAAATGTTAATGACAGATCTAGGACATACACGGAGTTTTTTGAGGCAGTCAGTACTGTTTTCACTACAAATAAAAATGCCGTGAAGTTCTAAAGTATGATAGGCCAGTGAAAGAGAACTGAGGTTGAGTTAGGACTGAGAATGGGTAAAGAGAAGAGCAGTAGGAACCTGAGCCTTCTTAAAATAAATAAGTACTTTATTTGACATTTTCCTCCTAAATATTAGTCTCATTAGGTAATGAGGTTATATCGAAAAAGATAAATCACTTTGCTTTTTATGTTTACACACATTTTCAGATACTAAGTAGTTAGGAAAAACTACCTTTTCAACCAAAGGCCACTATAAAAAATGTTTTTCTTATAATCTTTTAAAGATTCGGTCTAATAAATCAACTTGTGTTTATTCAGTCATTCATGTTGTTGTCAAGTGCTGTTAAGTCAATTCTGACTCATAGCGCAACACTGTATAGGATTTCTGAGGAGTAGCCAGTGGGTTTGAACTGCCCACCTTGCAGTTAGCAGCCCAATGCTTATCTTACAGAGCTGTATCAGGACTCCAAATCATTCATACTCTTTTATCAGTTAGTAAAATTTGATCATTAGTAATCAGAACAGCATGAACATTTATTGTTCAAACACTACATTGGAATCAGTATAGATGAAAGCAAAACACACTCAGTGTTTTATCCTGGAAAAACAATCATTTCTTAAACTATGAAAGAGAGTCTTAACTCGGGTTTTTGACCTGGAGGGTCTCAAGTTGAGAGCAGCTAGTGCACTGGTGGTCATCTTCATCTTCTAAGCTGCATTAATTCACAGGCTATGAGTAACTTTTAGAATCGGAGAGTCAGGTCCGAAAAAGGCCATTTGGATGTTTGTTTTATCTTCCCTAGCATACTCAGCACTGTAGTCATGCTGAAACAGCAGAATGAATAAGACCAAAATCTCAGCACAGCTCAGCTGCTGTATGTATGTGTGTGGGTATTGTCATTGAAGAGAAGCCGCCTGGGAAGCTTAGATCAATTTCCTTATCACCCTTATTTTTAAAATTCTATTTCTCAGACTCAGCACTTCAGACATAAAAAATGTATTTTCCAAGGAAAGGTAAGAGAAGAAGAAAGAAAATATGTAGAGGAGAAACGCTATTTGGAAAGTGATGCTATTTATTGTACAGTATTTCCTTCATAAGTGCTTTGTTCATGTGGCTGGTTAGCCAAGAAGTGCTTGAAGTCCAGTTTAACCATGTTCTCTTTGATCCCTAGATTCTTGAAGTGAAAAGTCCAATAAAGCAGAGCAAATCAGATAAGCAAATAAAGAATGGTGAATGTGACAAGGTAGGTTTCCAGGCACTGACACATCTGTTTCTTTGTGCGTCCCTCGATAGTCCTTGCTGGCTGTCCTTTCTTTCATTTTTGTCATCAGAAGTGCCCAGATGACAAGCACTTCATCCCAGCGCTTTGTCATTTGCTTTTCAAGTCTTGCTTAAATCTTCAGTATTTAGCTTGGCCTTCTGCTGACATTTGCCATGATGCCTGTGCTGCCAAAGATTGATTTTGAATTGGGAGGTAAGAGAATTGTGTTAGAGGTTAGGAAATTAAGGGAAGAGTCCTAGTGTCACAGTGGGTAAAGTGCTGGGCTGCTAACAAAAAGGTCTGTGGTTTGAACCCACTAGTCACTCTGCAGGAGAAAGGCAAGGTGGTCTACCTCTGGAGCGGTTCTGCTCTGTCCTGTGGGATCACTATGCGTTGGGACCAACAGCGCTGTAGTGCGAGTGGGTTTCTGAAGGGTGATGTGGAGGTTAAAGCCGTGCAGGTAAATAGGACATCTGATCCGTGGGCACCAGCTTTCTGAAGTGTGCATCGTGCATCTGGAATCTGACTGCAGACCGTTTGGGCTTAGATCACCTGGTGTGAGCTTTGCAGGTCCCCTTACACAAACCTTTCCTTTATCCATAGTGGAGATGATGCTAGGCCTGGTACCCATGCATGGCACCTGGTGGCACCAGAGCCTGGGAACCTGAGCATACGGGAAAAGTGGTGCACCTCTGTCTTGTCAGAGGAGCTCTTGACAAACCAGTTGCAAATTTGGCTAGCTCTACTTTTCATAAGACAGTCTTCTATCACCTGCTGGCATTGTTGACTGGCAAATGTTAGGTGTGAGTAGGAAGACTTTCAGGTGTGGTGTTTTCTTGTTTTTCTTTTTAAAGAATGTGTCTTGATGGAGATGGTAAATTGCATTGTGTCTGCCTTGTTCAAACATTGACTTTTTATCATAGTAAGTGTCTAGATTGAAGAATAGCAGATGAGAATTGCCTGTGACCGCCTGTTTAAATTTACAGTGTAGCGTGGGTCCCCTGACCTCTGCAGGGCACTTGTTGGGAGAGGGCCATTTCTGGTCTATTGAATTTTATTGGGAGCAAATAAATATAAGAATTGCCTTAAAAAAAAAAAAAAAAAGCAGATGTGGTAAAGGAAATGATCAGGCCGAGAGAGACTTGATCTGCAAAGCCCTTTGGCCCCGAGTTCAGACTTCCTGGGCTAGGCTGATAGAGTAGGGAACACCCACTTGTTGCTTGTGTGTGTGCTTATATATTTTTGTACTGCTTCTAAAAGTGCTTGATCTCTTAGGGTACTCTTCTTTTCCAGGCATATCTAGATGAATTGGTAGAGCTTCACAGGAGGTTAATGACACTGCGGGAAAGACACATTCTGCAACAGGTGAGAAGTGCTCTCTAGCAAGCCCCTTCAGAAGCCCCAAGGCCAAGTTTGTCCTGGGGTTGTGTGATAGCCCAACACTATCAGGACTTAGACGCATGCCACCTGCAGCAGTATTGGGGGCGGCTGCTCCTTCCTGAGGCCACCTGAAGTCTGCTCTGGACCTGCTGTGTGGTGATTAATCTCCCACCCTGGCTACTGAGGGCAAATGGGAAATGGACAGTCCTGCGGGTGATACTGGCATGTAGTGACCCCGTCAGCCACGGATGCTGTAATGGGGCTGAGAGAGGGAAGCAGTTGTAAGAATGCAAAAACCTTTGGGGCCAGGCTTCTGATGTCATGGAGTAATGGTAGTACATGACTTAGTCAAGTGGTGTCCACATGTGTGATTCAGTTTAGTAACCTTTTGCCAATACTATTCTAAGGAAAGAATTTTTTTTCATTTCCTATATATTGTTGTTGTTGTTGTCATGTGCTGTAGAGTCTGTTCCGACTCATAATGACCCTGCACAGGGTTTCCGAGGCTGTAAATCTTGACGGGAGCAGAAAGCCTCATCTTTCTCCCATGGAACAGCTGGTAGTTTCGAACTGCTGACCTTGTGGTTCGCAGCCCGATTCGTAACCACTATGGTACCAGAGCTCCTTTCCTTTATATTATACAACATATATTCTGCTATTATGAACTCAGCTGTGAAACACTGGTAGAGTGGGGAAACTTCTGTTAGTCCCATGTGATGTTTTGTGAAGATAAGAAGGGTGGTTTTTCGTTTTCATGCAGTTATAACACATGCCTCGATTGCATCAGTAGTGGCTATTGGTAAAATAATTTTTGCTTATTCTCAGAAGAGAAGGCCGTGTGTTCTAAATTCCTGGGTGAGTTCATAAATTATTTCACTGTTCGAATTAAAAAAAAAAAAGTATACTTGAATAATCTACCCCAGCTGTGTGTGCACATGCGTATGTGTTTGTGTGTGTGTATGTTTCAGACATTTAATGAGTGATGGTCACAATTTTATTCTGTCTGCATTTTTGTTTAAATCTATGAATGCCCACCCTGAAAGTTGCCAAGTTTTCTCATAGACCTGGTAAGGTGTTTTTTGTTTTTAGTATTTTTTTCTCATGATGAAAATTGGTATAACAAAATGTTTGCCAGTTCAGCATTTTTTTATGTATAATTCAGTGACATTTGGCTATGCAGCTGTTACCCCTATCCATTTTCATATGATTCCACCACCATTAACACAGACTCCCCATTTCTTCCTTATTGTTGTTGTTGTTAAGTGTCATTGAATTGGTTCACACTCATAGCGACATCATATAGGATTTCCAAGGATAGACTGGTGAGTTTGAACCGCTGACTTTTTTGTTAGCAGTCCAGATCTTACCTACAGTACCACACCAGGAGTCCTTGGTGGTGGTGGTGTGCCGTGGAGTCAGTTTTGACTCATAGCGACCCTACGTAGGATTTCCGAGGCTGTAAATCTTTCCGGGAGCAGAAAGCCTCATCTTTCTCCTGTGGAACAGCTGGTAGTTTTGAACTGCTGACTGGGAGGTTAGCAGCCCAACTTGTAACCATTACACTACCAGAGCTCCTTGGAGTCCATGATAATCACTAATAAACTGTGCCTACTCATCTAAGTGGGATCACACAATATTTGTCTGTTTGTGACTGAGTTATTCCATAGTGTTTTCAGGGTTCATCTATGTTGTAGCATATATCAGCAGTTCATCTCTGTTTTTGGCTGAGACATATAACATATGTTTATATAACTTATGTATAGTACATTCTTTTTTAAAACCCATTCATCTCTTGACAGACATTTAGATATTTAGGTTTAAACCTTTCTACAGTTTTCATAAGCGCTGGACTGTGAACCACAAGGTCCACAATTCGAGCCTGCCACCCACTCCTCAGGAGAAAGAAAAACCTTTCTGCTCCCACAAAGATTTAAAAGCACCGAAAACCCTGTACAGGGTCACTATGAGTTGGAATTGACTCAATGGCACTTCACAACAACAGTTTTCAGTATCTTTGTGTAAGAAAGAGTTGACGATTTGCAGTCATAAAGATTCCAGCCTAGAAAACCCTACAGGGCCATTCTCTGATACCTGAGGTTGCTGAATGGAAATCAATTCAGCGGCACCCAACAACAGTTGAGGTTTCAGAGAACATCTCATGACTGCAGACCTGTGATTCTTTATTGGGGATAAGTTACGCTTCGTACATTTCCTTTTAGGTAAGGGTAGGTCACCAAAAGACATATTCTAGCTTTTTGCTAGAATTTTTCTTCACATTTTTTCTGTCAAACTGCGAATTGTTTTGGTTGCTACTGGACACTTATTTGGTGCTACCTGACTGAATGGTGATGGAAATCTGTAAGACAATCTTGTCTTTCTTTCCCAAATGCTAGCCTTGAAGCTCTGTGAAGCAGTTTTCTAATAAAGATACATTAATGTTCAAGCTTAGCCCCTATAGCAAAAGGAGTTTTATCCCATAGGAGGATGAGACAGATGTTTGGGCAGGGTGGGGACACCTTCACAAAGAAAGTCCAGATAATGGATTGAGGATAGTAAGCCATTGGGCAGAGTCTTACCTTGGGGTGTCATTGGCATTCCCAGTTTAACATTGCCCTTTATTTTGACCTTTGAAAGAATTGTAAGGGATGATGGCTTCCTCAAGAACGCCATCCAAATGGGTTCTTTTCGTCTTCTAGAGGGAGAGCATGATAGCTATGAATTTCTAACCTGGCATAAAGGCACCCCAGAGCACACAGCATTTCACCCTAATTGCATCCCCAGGCTGGTTGAAAGCTCTCAGTCTTTGGCCTTTTGCCTTGTAATGCAGCCGAGGCTTGTGATTATAATACCATGACGCATGTCCTGTCATGGCTTACTGCTTAATTAATTTCTATTGTAAAACATAGCACTGCTGTGAACTAGTGGTGTTCTTCACCTTGAGAGCTGCTCATCTTGTAGAGTGTATGCCACAAAGTCTACAGATTCTCTGACATTAAAACCTGAAGCAGGATTTCTGGTGGGCCCAGGACTTTTCTTGAAATTCTTGTTGTTAAACACATCCTCTCAACAAATCTGGTCTGACGATTTTATTTGGCACACAGAAGTGGTTGAAAGTTCTGGTTGACCCTGGGGCAAGAGATACCGGTGCCCACATCTAGGATCATGAACAGAGTGTGTTGGCTTATGGGCACCTGTGTCCCTAAGCTACTTTCTCTAAGGGTGAAAATGCAGTACAAGAGCACAGTCACACTGAGATGTGAGTTCCTCAGATTGACTCATCCTTTGATCCCTCTCTAAATCATGTGTTCCCTATTTATTTGGATGAGGAGACAGAACCCTTCTAACTTCCTCAGCAATTCAACTCCAAGCTTGGATTTGCATCCAAAGCTCTGAGGGCTTCCTTAGAAGATAAACTAACAATTTAGATACTGACTTATATTCCTTTAAAATTACGTTCAGGGATATTGAGGATAAGGCTTTAACTCTTTGCTCTGAGTGATGGATCAGAATATTCATTCAAATAACACATAGAACCCTCTCTGAAAAGGGTTTGTTTGAAAATGATCATCTCCATCCTGGGAAATTGCTTGCCATTTTTTAGCACCCCTTGTAAATTGATGGCTTACCCCAATGCCATTGAATCGATTCCAACTCATAGCTGACATATAGGGCAGAATAGACCTGCTCCATGGCATTTTCTAAATTGAAATCTTTATAGGAGCAGATTAACAGGTCTTTTTGCCTCGTAGAGTCTGAACTGCCAACCTATCAGCAGCTGAGTTCTTAACCATTGCACCACTGTTGTTGTTGTTAAGTGCCGTCGAGTCGGTTCCGACCCGTAGCGACCCTGTATAGGGTTTTCCAGGAGCAGCTGGTGAGCTTGAACTGTCGACCTTGCAGTTCAATTGGCTTTGCAGTCTGGCGCATTAACCCACAGCGCCACACCAGGACTCCTTTAACCCAGAACAGGGTCTGTGCTATCCTGGTCTAGACTGTGCTTCCAGTTCAGGCCATTCACCTAGAACCCCAGGTTATTTCAGACCTGCCTGACTCCAGTCTGTCTGGGCAGAAACCGAGAAAGCAAAAAATTTGGTTCTTCTTCCCTTCTCCGCAGCGATGGTATTGTTACAGACAAAAAAGAACCTGAATCGTTTAATACAATGAGACTAAAAATATTCTAGTACTTGTCTGTCCATTTGTCATACTGTAGTATCTTGTGTGTTACTGTGAGGTTAGAAGCTCTGCAGAGGTGTTTTAAATACCAGCAGGGTCACCCAGAGTGGACAAGTTTCAGCAGAGCTTTCAAACAAAATAGACTAAGAAGAGAGGCTTGGTGAGCTGCTTCTGAAAATCAGCCAATGAAAACTTTATGAATCACAAAGTTTGTTCAATCTAATGTGGAGGATGAGCCTCCTAGATTGCAAGTGATGCACCATAGCAGCGACAGTGGACTCAAACATCTCACCAATCATGAAGGTGGTATGGACGGACACCATTTCATTCTGTTAGCCATGAAGTCACCTGAGCTGAAGCTAACTCAATGGCACCTAACGTCAACAGCAATATAAAATAATACATCATCTTTTAATAATTAATAGCAGGGTTGGAGGGAGGAATTACAGATTTAACAATTGAATCTTACTCTGTTTAAAAACAGACAGTAGCTTCCATGGTACCTCCAGTAAAGCTGACATGCCAGGAAACAATCCATCACAAATGTTGCAAAACTATCATCTAAAAACTTAGTTAAGCCATTTGCATTCTTTGTTTCCCATTTTTTTTTAACCCTTTTGTCCTTACCTGTTATTTTTCTTATGGTCACTGTGCCTTTTATTACTATTATTTTGGAGTGAGATCGGTGATTACGATGTTATGCAGGGGAATGAAGGATACCACAGCAGAGTCCCACCATATCACTGAGCAGGGTATTCATACAGAAAGGCAGTGTGGAGTCGCTCAGAAACTAGCTGGGAATTTTTAGGCTT